GCCCGAGATTCACAGAATTTACAGAAAATGTTACATTTTTGTGATTTATATCGTTATCGGACAATAGAATTCTTATCCTTGAATGAGATTTCGGTCATATCGCACAGCCCTAGATCCAGGACATCCAGAGCGTTGGTGGGACAGAGTCACATGCTAGGGACAGGGTTAAATGGAGGCAGATCATCTGCTGTATGAACCTGTAAAGCAGCTTGAAGAAAAAGAAGAAATGAAGACATTATATGTTTAATTGAGCTAAGTTGTTTCTTGTGTTTCGGGTGCTATAACACAGTAATTTCCCAACATTTGGGATCAACAAAGTACCTTCTTATTATTCACATTAATGTTATATGGAGGGACAAAAGATAACAAACAAGTACATATTAATGCCACTATTTTATAAGGATGCATCAGATTAATTATGTGCAATAATGTGTTTCGATAAATAGAGCAATAGGCATAGGTACATTAGTTGAAAAGTTATATCACCAGCTTTAATGGTGCAGGTGTCTAGTTAGTAACTAGTTCCAAAGACTTGACATACAAAGTTGTAGGATTTACGAAAAGGTAGTGGACTTTATTCAGGACACCACATGTGGTGTCTGGCAGAACATTACTAAACATGTCTCTGACTTGCCATCAGATCGCGCACTTCCAGAAGGAATTGGATGACCTTAAGGCACGAAGTGCAAAAGCTGACTTTAAGGTTGGTGCTGATGAGGAAATGAAGGAGTTGAGGAAAGAGTCGGAAGACCTCCATATTTTCACCCTGGAAATCAAGGAAACTACAGAGGTAAGACAATGATTGAAACACTGAGTCCTGTTCACAGACTGCTCTTCTTCCTTTTAACATTTGATGTTGAGAAAGCCAGTAAAAATCATTTCGAACAACCTTAAATTCTGCAACCATAAGACTTCAACCACTGTGACTTTAGAGTCCTGTCTGAAGCAGTGTTTGGAGGATGGTGTCACTCTAGGTTGATAAATCATTTAAAACCTCCTTTCAAGCCTTTTTGTGTGTGTGTCTGTAATCTTTAGTCACTCCATGGTGACATTGGCACACTGAAAACTTCGCTACTGGAAGGCTTTGCTGGGGCAGAAGAAGCCAAGACCCAGAGTGAACTGAGCAAAGACAGAAATTACAGACAGCTACTTTACAAAAAGCCTCTGGACCCACGCAGTGAGGAACAGCTTAAGGTGCGAAATAAAATGACAGATTACCCCCAAATTGTTTGCATGAATTGACAGTTTTAAGGTTTTACATATTCTTATAAAAATAATCTCCTTAATCATGTATATTTGATCTTTTTTTTTTTTTTTTTTTTTAAATTCAGGAGATTCGAAGGCTATACCAGTATGTTATGTTCACTGTGGAGGATGTTAATGATGTCTTGGATGTGGAATGGGAGAAACACTTGGAGAAGAAGAAAAAGCAGAAGTGAGTTTTAAAGAAAATGGCAGATAATCCCACCAGCAGTTTGTGTGTTGGATAGAAAGAGAGAATAAAAAATTGGATGGAGTATAATTTGTTATTAAATAAATCTCTTTACAGACACATGGTTGTGCCTGGACGTGAGGGTCTGTTCACTACACTGTCCAACAATCTGTACATCATCAACCAGCAGAAGAACAGACTGGACCAGCTGGTTAAGGAGCTCAATTCACTACGCCTCTACAGCAAAACAACCACTCCTGCTAGAAGTCCTGTGACAGCAACGACAGCTAGGTAAGGCCTGGCTGCAGAATGTGGGGGAAAAAAACAGGGATTTAAGAGGATATTAGGTGTTAGTTATGTGGGGTAGTTTAAGGAAAGACTTAAGTTTTAAGTTAACCATTATCTATGGTTTATACGTCAGTTTTTAAGTTATTAAAAAGGGTTTTAGTCAGCTTAAACATCATGTATGGTAAAGAATGGTTCCAAGCAGCATTCCTTATAATGTGTGGATGTTCACACGCTTCCATTTGCTCCTATTGGATAAAAACACCATGTTTTTGTGTTGTTATTAGTTTGGAAAATGACCTTGAGACTTTAAGAGATGCTCTCCTGAAAACCAGGCTGGACCCTACCCCTTCTAAGACCAAATCTCCAGGTATTGATTTTTTTTTTCCTACCGCCTGCATAAAAACAGCACAGGATATATTTAATTTTTTCAGTATATTTTTCAGTATATTTCAGTATGTATGATGTCTCTGCAGCCGTCAAGATATCACCAGTTAAACAGTCCCAGCTGCGCAACTTTCTCTCAAAGGGACAGATGCCTCCTGTCCGCTCAACTGCACCAGGTACTAGAAATTTATGGTTACATGAAAGTTTTATCCTAAATGTTCAAATGATTTTGCCTTTTGAAAAAGTATACAACAAGGCTGATTTTAAAGTAAAGGGATGTTAATCAAGCCCTCTTAGTGTGTTTCATAATAAATCATAGTAAATGTGAGTGCTAATTTCATGTCGACAGTAGCTTTTTCCTCACAACTGCAAATACCAAATTCAACACCCGCTTCATTTCAGTGATATTAATATTGAAATCCCTATTCTGATGCTCATACTGTGGAATGCAGCAGCACTTCACATATTGGAATCGAAATGTATTTATTCATTTTTCTGTTTCAGCCAACCTATCTCGTTCAGCCTTCCTTTCACCTAAATACTACGAGGACTTGGATGACGCGAGTTCAACATCTTCCCTGTCCCAGTCCCTGGAGCCTCACCCGCCTCACTTGGAGCAGGAAGAAGAGGAGCTGCAGACACGGCCCCCTCCCATGTCCTCCATACCTCCATCATTGTCCACCCCCCGCCACCCTACCGTTGTGAGGACCCCCTCTATCCAGCCGGGCTTCGGAGCCATCCAGTCCACCCCTTTATCTAAAATTCAGTCAGGACAGGGTATGGGCTTTGGACTCAGCCCTATTGCCAGCCCCAGTAAGTAAATTATACCAACTGTTGCTGTTCATAAAAAATTATGAGGACGCATTCATGAATCATAAATGACTTCAAGTTATAATGCCATATTTTACTGAAAATAATGTAAAGTAATGTCGCTAGTCTTAGATGTGGATATTTTTTATAGATATTGATTACTGCATTAATATTCCAGTTCCAACAAATAAGATCAACCTCAGCGGGGCTGAGAGCACGGCTCTCGCCACAAAGACAGTCAAGCATGGAGCTCCACCAACCGAGAGGACCACACCCATCACCATCTCTGCCCAGCAGGCTGCAGCCAATGCTGCTTTACGAAGACAGATGGCCAGTCAGTTGGGTAAGTAACATTGTGCAGCAGTCAAAAATGTATTTATTTGTTTTTAAACAATGAGGAAGATGTGCACATTTGTTTTTAGCTACAGTGGGCATTTGGGGATCTTTTAAATATTATTTTGTTATTCCCTCAGTAATTCACCAGGGGGAGACAAAGACTTAAAGAACAGATAATGTGTAACTGTTAGCTCATTACCACATCCTGCCTGAGAGTAATTTGCTAAAATGTTTCCATGTAAACAGAGCAGGCTTAAATAAACCTGGAGACATTCAGTTTGATTGCTTTTGTCTCATCTGGTACCTTTTTTCCAGCTGTGAATTGCTCTAATATGCCAGCTGTGATCAATACTTCACTGACAGAGTCCACCTTGAAGACTGTTCCTCAGGTGGTCAATGTTCAGGAGTTCAAGGACAAGGGGACTCCTGTGGTGGTTCCTTCCAACATCAGGTAAAACCTAAAACGAAGGTCACTTCTCACCTTCTCACCCCCACTCCTTTAAAGGCAATTGAGGGAAAGCAGATAAAATGTGTCAAGGGTAAACTACAAATACGGCAAGACTATAGCTTCCAAATAAGATAGTAAACCCCAAGTAGAAGTCTATTTGTTTTTATTTTTGGTCAGTGTTACAAACTATTCCTCTGTATAACTGTAAACAAGATTACTGGCATTACTTAAGACTTATTATTTGTAGCTATTAAAAAGAATCAGTTGGAAAATCAGTTAATAACCAATTCCTTAAAGATTAGCAGATATTTAGACATAGGTGTGGGACACTTGGATGTACTTGATCAACATGTAGTTGAAACATTTTTGATGTATTCTTATTTTAATAATCACTAACATAGTCAGTAATATGGGGGTGATACTATAGCTTAACTGGGTGACCAGGCAAGAGATATGGTAAAGGCTGCTGCGAGGGACCCTTGCCATAAACATACCACTAAATAATGTAAATTTGATTATATTTTTGTGCCATGTGAAAACTGTGCCCTCTTATGGTTGTGCTGATGTCCCCAGCTCCTCGGTACCAGATCCAGGATCTCAGGTCTTTGCAACAGTTTCTTCCAGTCAGGCCAAACGGGTGAGTAAATCCATCACTCTCCGACCTGTCATTTTGTCTTTGACTTTCTCGTTACTGTTACTTGGGTGACATATTAATTCAAATTAAATAATCTTTACAACACAAATCTCAGTTGACTTGCATGTGAAATATTTGAAACAGTTTTTATCTATATTTTAAGGAATAAATAAAAACTTTAAATTGAAAAAAAAAATCATGTAAAAATACTTGACCTTTCATGCACCTTTCAAGTGGTTTTGTACTTTTCCAAGGAGTGCCACCACAAACAAATGTCTTCACTATATTTTTATGCGTCCACGTGCTAAATAGTAAAAGTTATTATAAAGGTATATTTAGAGCTGGGCGATAGAACGATAACGATATGTATCGCGATATAACTTTTACTCGATAGAGAAATTAAGCTATCGCGATAGACCTCGCCGCTCTTGTCC